TTTGCTCGTTTTCGTTGCGCTTGCCTTCCCCTCTTTGGTCTTTTCCATAACCTTGAACCTTCCAAGTTGGAAGGCTGTCGGTTAGCGCTACGGAGATGTGTTGAAGCTAGGTGTCAGGACGTCGAATGTTTCAGTACTCTGTCAGTTTTGTGCCTAGTTATTGCACTTTCTGACTGTATATAGTATCATGTTACAGTGATGGAGAGTTACTCTTAACTCGTATCCATATGTCTTTTTCTCTTCCACATTTATTTATGGCTCAACATCCGAGTTTCAAATTATTATTATTATTATTATTATGGCAATAAATAAGATAAATTGTACACTCATAACAACAGCAAAAATGAAGAAAGTCAAGTTCCATAACGTTTTCTTGTGACTGTCATCAGTGGAACGCCGTCACATAAAAATGTAATAACTAAAACACACACTTATATACATGTAGCTAATATGGTTTCAGGTAGAAATACAGCAGCTATCAGGTACAAAAAGCGAAGTTTGCACCTTTGCAATGTGTGAATATAGTGTATGTGAGAAAGGTAGTGGCAGATGAATGTGATACTGTGTGACTGAATGTAATGGTGCGTGTGTATTACTTGAAAAGTGTGAGTGATACAACGTTGCGCACGTTTCTTCAAGCAATTGCAGGTGTTGGAAGCTGTGTATATTCGTACTCGTGACCCTGTGCTATGTAAACAGAAAGAAAACGTTGTATCACTCACACTCTTCAAGTAATACACACGCACCATTACATTCATTCACACAGTATCACATTCATCTGCCACTACCTTTCTCACATACACTATATTCACACATTGCAAAGGTGCAAACTTCGCTTTTTGTACCTGTTAGCTGCTGTATTTCTACCTGAAACCATATTAGCTACATGTATATAAGTGTGTGGTTTAGTTATTACATTTTTATGTGACGGCGTTCCACTGATGACAGTCACAAGAAAACGTTATGGAACGGGACTTTCTTCATTTTTGCTGTTGTTATGAGTGCACAATTTATCTTATTTATTGCCATTTTACGACTATTGTCTCCTCGTCGATTGTTTAAATTATTATTATTATTTGGAAAGGATTGGGAGAACTTCAAATTCAAAGGATCAGTCGGGGAAGTGAACTGCCTGAAAAGAGAAAAAAACGCCAGACCCACCAGGACTCGAACCTGGGACCCTGCTTGTCATGAGCAATGCTCTAACCACTGAGCTATGGGACCAGGCTGAACCTAGAAGGTGCTGAAAAGTTTTTCACTCCAAAGGCAGCTCACAACACGTGCCACACATACTGATGGCACTTGGGTCTTTTTCCCTCCCCCAGGGGACCAACCACGGTCAGTTTCTGGAAACTACCAGAGGTGAAAGAATGTGATTAAATTTGGAAAGGATTGGGAGAACTTCAAATTCAAAGGATCAGTCGGGGAAGTGAACTGCCCGAAAAGAGAAAAAAACGTGAGCTGCCTTTGGAGTGAAAAACTTGTCAGCACCTTCTAGGTTCAGCCTGGTCCCATAGCTCAGTGGTTAGAGCATTGCTCATGACAAGCAGGGTCCCAGGTTCGAGTCCTGGTGGGTCTGGCGTTTTTTTCTCTTTTCGGGCAGTTCACTTCCCCGACTGATCCTTTGAATTTGAAGTTCTCCCAATCCTTTCCAAATTTAATCACATTCTTTCACCTCTGGTAGTTTCCAGAAACTGACCGTGGTTGGTCCCCTGGGGGAGGGAAAAAGACCCAAGTGCCATCAGTATGTGTGGCACGTGTTGTGAGCTGCCTTTGGAGTGAAAAACTTGTCAGCGCCTTCTAGGTTCAGCCTGGTCCCATAGCTCAGTGGTTAGAGCATTGCTCATGACAAGCAGGGTCCCAGGTTCGAGTCCTGGTGGGTCTGGCGTTTTTTTCTCTTTTCGGGCAGTTCACTTCCCCGACTGATCCTTTGAATTATTATTATTATTATTTGAAACTCGGATGTTGAGCCATAAATAAATGTAGAAGAGAAAAGGACATATGGATACGAGTTAAGAGTAACTCTCCATCACTGTAACATGATACTATATACACTCAGAAAGTGCAATAACTAGGCACAAAACTGACAGAGTACTGAAACATTCGACGTCCTGACACCTAGCTTCAACACATCTCCGTAGCGCTAACCGACAGCCTTCCAACTTGGAAGGTTCAAGGTTATGGAAAGACCAAAGAGGGGAAGGCAAGCGCAACGAAAACGAGCAAAAGCTACAGTCCCAACGGAACAAAGAATGTCGATTGTTACTGGACGATGACGAGACCAGTACGATATTTGACAAAGCGGTCTAACTACAATTCGAATCTTTGATATTTTATGACCCTCCCAAGTTGGGTGGTGTGCTGCTTTGCTGCTTCGAATTGTAGTTAGACCGCTTTGTCAAATATCGTACTGGTCTCGTCATCGTCCAGTAACAGTCGACATTCTTTGTTCCGTTGGGACTGTAGCTTTTGCTCGTTTTCGTTGCGCTTGCCTTCCCCTCTTTGGTCTTTCCATAACCTTGAACCTTCCAAGTTGGAAGGCTGTCGGTTAGCGCTACGGAGATGTGTTGAAGCTAGGTGTCAGGACGTCGAATGTTTCAGTACTCTGTCAGTTTTGTGCCTAGTTATTGCACTTTCTGACTGTATATAGTATCATGTTACAGTGATGGAGAGTTACTCTTAACTCGTATCCATATGTCCTTTTCTCTTCTACATTATTATTATTATTATTATTATTTCGTAAAATAGCAATGAAAAATATCAATTGTGCACTCATAACCATGTATAAACAATTAAAATGAAACAATTCCAGAACGGTTTCGTGTGACCATCATCAGTGGAACATCGTCACATAGTAAGAATCACTAAAACAACCAGTTATATAGCTAGAGTAATATGAAAAGAAGCGTGAGAATGCAGCACAGCTAGCGGTTATGCATAACGCGTGTAGTGTGAACCTTTGCAGTGTATCTGAGAATGGTAGCAGTAGATGAATGTGGCAGCTGTGAGTGCGTGTGAACAAAAACTGGTGAGTGCGTATTATTTAAAAAGTGTGAGTGCTACAACATTTTCTTTTTGCTTGCATAGAACAGGGTCACGTGTGCGAATATATACAGCTTCCAACACCTGCAACTGCTTAAAGAAACGCGCGCGACAAATAACACTAAACCAGGAATCGTCAAACAAGTTACGACAATCCGGACTGGACACCAAATGCTTGTAGATGGCAGGCTTGCTCTTGTCGATGTCGAACTCCTCCTCGTCCGTATCACTCTCATCCTCCACTTCCTGTTCCTGCTCACCCTTGCTTTCCTCCTGACCATCCTGTTCATCCCCATCATCATCCTCCATCTCCATCTCCTCATGCCATCGCTTCTTTCCCCTTGACGTGTTCACTGCTGCGCCCGTACTTTCACCTGCCACCACTGGTTCCGCCTTCTCCATTTTTCTCAGTCGTGTCTCCGCTAGTCTCTGGCTTCTCCTCAGATTCGTTTTTCCTCCATTTTCATTTTGTTCTCCTGGTGATCTTTCCGTTACCGCCGTCGGGTTTGTTAACGAACGATCGTCCGTTCGTCTCCCATGCCGTGTTGTTGTCGTCAAGAGTGACACCAGATTCGTGTGTTGCGCTACTGTTGAGTCCGGTGTTGTATCCGTTTCTGGTTGTGTTGTAATACTGACAGGCGTAGTATTAGGCAACGGGTGTTTTCGTGGCCTCCCACGCTTTGGCCTGCCTGCCCTAGCCGCTTTTGACAACAAGGACAATGGGACGTGTTGTTTGATACGTTCGGACAAGTGTTGATGATGGTCACACGAAAACGTTCTGGAATTGTTTCATTTTAATTGTTTATACATGGTTATGAGTGCACAATTGATATTTTTCATTGCTATTTTACGACTGTTGTCTCCTCGTCGGTTATTATTATTTCGTAATAAGTATTCGCATGCAACGACGCAAATCCACACAATTCAGTAGACACTTCTTTTCTATCAAACGTTTTCTTTCCCTTCTCTTCAGGATAGTACAGGGAATGTTGTAAATTAGAAAAACACATAACTATATAGAGAATGAAAGAAAGAAAAAAGTCAACACTTCAACATAGGTGTTAAAATTATTAAAGTGTTAAAAAAACAGTTTCGTAATAAGTATTCGCATGCAACGACGCAAATCCACACAATTCAGTAGACACTTCTTTTCTATCAAAAGTTTTCTTTCCCTTCTCTTCAGGATAGTACAGGGAATGTTGTAAATTAGTTTTTAACACTTTAATCATTTTAACACCTATGTTGAAGTGTTGACTTTTTTCTTTCTTTCATTCTCTATATAGTTATGTGTTTTTCTAATTTACAACATTCCCTGTACTATCCTGAAGAGAAGGGAGAGAAAACGTTTGATAGAAAGGAAGTGTCTACTGAATTGTGTGGATTTGCGTCGTTGCATGCGAATACTTGTTACAAAACTGTTTTCCCATCGCCTCCAAACTACTGTTTGAATTATTATTATTATTATTATTATTATTATCATTGTAGGTTATAATGCTTTTCTGCTATGGCAACCTCAAGCAAGCTTGGCTAGCCTTGGCATAAGTTGCTCTATGATGACGTGACAAAACGGTAAAGGCATGTGTAGGGCAGGACAAAGGGTCAAAGATGGGCTACCAGTTGTGTCGAGGAATACAAGCTGCAGGATAGTAAACACATGTGGGAAGGAGAATTGCGCACGCCATTATATGATATGCGGTATACACCTGTCTTGAATGTATTGCCAACTGTGTGCTTTACATTTAAAAATCCTGGAAGAACGGACCATCAGTGCAGATATGCTGTATGCTGTGGATGTTTGGATTACATTACACTTTGGATTCTGCTCATCTTGTCTTTTTCATTGACCTGTTCACAGATACGATTTGTTAATGTCCTGCAACTGGACCACATCAGCTCTACGGCTACCAACACTATAGTCAAGTATTGTGGTACTGAATATGCCTTATTCAACCCGACGACGACATGTGTTTCTTTGAATGTAAGTGATAGTGTTGTCCCTGCCCTTTTGGCACGTGTGTGCCCCTTTTGGCACGTGTGTGCCCCTTTTGGCACGTGCAGGTTGCGCATGCGTGCATGCTTATCGTGCGCATCCTGGTTGTTTTTGGGTGCCTTCTTCCGCGCGACGCTGCGCCGCTCGGCGGGCCCGACGCCTCTTGCGAGAGCGGCGGGACCGTCGGCGACGAGGCACCACTGGCGCTGGCGCTGCAGCCACCACCGGCGAGGAAGCGGACAGAAGGGAAACCTGACGCGGCGCTGGCGCGGCAGCCACCACCGGCGAGGAAGCGGACAGTAGGGAAGCCGGACGCATGTCTGCGGGAAGCGACTCGAAAAACGACCTCCACTCCTCGATGAGTTCCAACACCATGGCCGGGTCGGCGAGGGCAACACTAAGCAAGAAAGAAGGAAAAAAAAAGAAAAAGAGGAGAAAAAAAACAAACAACCAACTGGGAGTATCCATGGTAAACAATAGCTACATCACCAACCCCTCCACGAGAGGTCTAACTGACCCTCGTCAAGGGCCGCATAGCCCCCCGGGGGCAGGGCACACCTCCGCCGAGGACGTGGTGTCCCGGGCGGATGGGTGGGAGAAACCGGAGGACTCTGCGTCGGGGTCAACAACGGACTACCCGGCAATGAAGAATCAGGAGGATTCGGGGCCGGGGTATCCGGGGGACTACCCACCAAGGGAGGGGAACCCCGGTCACCAGCAGGAGGCACAACAACCGGAGATGGGGGAGGTGTGGGGAGGTAACCCGGGGGCTGAACCAACCCTGGGACTGACCTTGCAAATGAGGCCGGCAGAAACAGAGCGGGCCCACCCATGGAGGAAACCGCCGGTCTTTCAGGCGTGGCGGGCCCGGTAGCTGGAACCCCTGGGGGAACAACCACCTTACCCTGCACCACCCGCAACCTATCCGCATGCACAGTCAGGTGCTTAGCATGTCGGGGTGAAGGAGGAGGACCCACCCGGACAATCGCACACACAACTCCCTTCACCACTTCCACCTGCCAGGGGCCAGTCCACGGGCGGAACAGCTTAGGGTTGGACCCAGGGGGCGGAACAGCATGGAGCCAAACATAGTCCCCAGGTTGTACCGTGGGCAGTTTAGTCCGGCGATTGTACGCTGCCTTAGCCACTCTGTGGGCTACACCGAGGCGGTCACGTACAACGCCAAAAGCCCGACCCAAAGACGACCGAAGATTGGACACGTACACAGGCACAGGGGCTTCCATGGGGGTATTAGGTGTAGGTAAGAACAAGTCCAAGGGTAGACGGGCCTCCCTCCCAAACAGGACAAAATGGGGGGTAAACCCGGTAGAGCGGTGGACCCCCGTATTGTAGGCAAATTGTACCAGGGAAAGATGTTTGTCCCACGAGGCCTGATCACCCTCAACGTACGCCCGGAGAGCCACCTGAATAGTGCGATTGGCCCGCTCTACCAAGCCATCGGACTGAGGCCGGTACGGGGTCGTGCGGGATTTACACACCCCCAACAACTGACACAGGCATGACATAAGACGGCTCTCAAAATTTGGGCCCTGATCCGAGTGCAACTGGCTAGGGACACCAAACTTCATAAATACCCGTTCGACCAAAAGGTCCGCCACCGTCTCAGCTCTCATGTCCCGCAGGGGAAGAATTTCAACCCATTTAGAAAAATAGTCCCCAACCACTAGGATATATTTATTACCACGAGCAGTGAGAGGTAGGGGTCCCATGATATCCATGGCAATGACCTCAAACGGGGCACCCACACGCACAGTGCCGAGCGGGGCTTTTGCAGCCCTAGGCGGATCTTTGCCACGCTCGCACACTGTACAACATCTACAAAACACCGAGACATCGACCGACATTCCCGGCCAGTATGCGACTTTACGAAGACGAGCCAATGTGCGGTCTGAACCAAAATGGCCAGATGTTTGACCAGCATGCGCCTCGGCCAAAAATTGGTGGCGCAAAACCACCGGAACCGCTAACTGGCGAGCAAGCGATGGCAATGTGTCACGGTACAAAACACCGTCTACCATGGTCAGGGTCTCGGACTGAGTCAGCAGAGCACGAACTACAGGACTATCGCCATCCTGAACGGGCTGAGCGGCAGCCAACCGGTCTATCACGACCCGTAGCTCGGCATCATCGTGTTGAGCCTGGCGAATGTCACCAGCGGTAGGCGTACAAAACGACACTGCATTAACGGATAGATCAGTGTCAAACTGGCGACTTAATCCATCTGCATTCCCATGCTGCGCTCCTGGCCGGTGCTCCACGGTAAAGTGAAACTCCCCTAACGTGCTGAGCCAACGGGCAATTTGGAAAAGTATTATCACTCAAACCATCTACGTGGTCTCTGCTTTTTCCTTTTCCATTCCCTCGACCTATGAATTCCTTTCTGCCAGGACATTCAGCCAAAACGTGATGATTTCACCGAATGCTAGTTGCGGTAAAATAACAGGAATCCAGAGAAAAAGAGTTGATTAGGAAACTCGGGACAATGGTAATGGGGAATGATAATGTTGGAAGACGTGTCAGATATTGATTCGTATGTTGATTGAAGTCCTCATGAAAAATGTTGATTAGGAGACGAGAATCCTAAATTTATTTAACAAGAGGTGCACACACTAGTCCATTTCATGACACCAGAGGGACACCATGTGCTAGTTTTAGCTTTTTTTGTCATGCAACCGTCACCAGAAATCGTCGCCGCATGCTTGCTGCCCCATGCTTGCTGCCCCATGCTTGCTCCCCGCCCCTGTTCCTGACAAAACATTTACACAACTGTTATGTTCGATCTCTTCGTTGTCGGAACATATACAACCAAAAGACAAAGAAATAAAAACCACTTGAAAGGAAAAGGGGATACAGAACTCCGCAGTAGCCAGTACAAAGGTGGAGAGGTACACAGATGAAATCCAGTAGACTGGCGCCCGGCGGGCTAGCTACCTGTGCATAGATACTAGTAGTATTCGCTGTACGTACATACGCTACGAATGCATGGGTGTGCAAGAATGACTAGCACACGGTACAAGTTTGTGGCATTACATGCGCAGCAATAATGCGAACACAACATCCCCCCCCCCCCCCCCCTAAGTCAGCAGGAGAGGAATTAAACAACAAGATAAACAACCTCGACAGCACAGAGTATCAAATAAGCCGCCTGCTGCACGAACTTGCTGCGGACCTTGAGATCAAGAAGTCAGTCCACGTCTGCTTCTTTGACCTCTCCAAGGCCTTCGACCGCGTGTGGCACCGTGGCCTCTTCACAAGCTTGAACACCATGGCGTAAGGGGTGCAGCACTCCGCTGGTTTGAGGGCTACCTCCTGGGCCGGAGGCAGCGGGTCCGAATCGGAAGCGCAGCCTCCGACAGGCTCGACATCCCTGCAGGAGTCCCTCAGGGATCGGTACTTGGTCCGCAGCTATTCTTGATATACACGATAGACCTACCAGCAGCTTGCAACTCCCAAGCCACACGAAGCAGTCTCTTCCCCGACGACACCGCCTTAATCGCTAGCGACCACTCAGCAGCCGCGGCAGAGCGAGTGCTCCAGTCCAGTGTGGCTAAAGCCGCTACGTCGCTCGACACCTGGCACCTGACCGTCAGCAAAACGAAGACGGGCGTGATGACACTGTGCGGTCTCTTCCCCCTGACAATAACGGTGAGAGGCAAAACACTAAACAGAGTCCAGAGCCAGCGACACCTGGGTATCATCATTCAGGCCGTCCTGAAGTGGAATGCCCACATCCAGCACATCGAGAACAAAGTTGCGCGCACTCTCCACCTCTTGAGATGGATTCGTGGACGTCTTTCACCCACCGCCCTGTCAGCACTGTACACCACGTATATACGCCCAGTTATCGAACATGGTTCTCTGGCTATGTCAGCTACAAATGTTCAGCAACAAGATGCCCTCGAACGTCTCCAACGGCGGTCAGCAAAACTCTGCCTCCGACTCCCCCTCTTCAATCCTTGCCACCACAGTTCATTACTCCACCATGTCACTTGGCCAACCCTCTCATCCCACAGGAAGCTCAAGCAGCTACTCTTTGCACACACCATCGCTGTCAAACGATCCCCGCCACACATCCAGCTTGCGACCTCGGGCTACATCACCGAGCCACCAAGCCGAGAATTGAGGCGTCATCGAGTCTTTGCCCTCCCCACCACCCACCCGCCTTCAATGTTCACCCTTGTACTCCGCATGCACTCAGTACAACCACCTGTCACCACACTGTTACTCCCTCCGAGAAATAAATGGATTCAAAAGAGAAGTTACCCCGATCATAGTATCATCAATTTGCACATGCTCCAACCCCCGCTGTAGCCCAGCCTAGGTATAGTATTTTAATCAAGCTCTATTGCCTACCTGCCTTCGCAATGGATATACTTCCTGCTTTGTCCTTACTCAAATGACGCACCTAAACCACGGCTGCCATTAGCCACTATTTATCCCGGTTTATTGCACCCACTCTGATTGATAACAGTATAGTACTGTCTCTCTCTTATTGGCTACGGCGGCCATCGTGAGAATAAAGATAATAACAATAAAAAAACCTCATCAATCAAAATGGGAAAGAAAGAGAGAGAGAGAAAAGAGTGGACCTGCAAACCTTGGCGTAGTGACCCGTCTTCCCGCAGGCAGAGCAAGACTTGAGTCCCGCAGACAGAATGCTCGTGATATTGGCCTCCACAGAGTCCACACGATCGCTGAGATTGTTTGTGGGACCAGCTATGTACATACGGTCCGAATGCATGGCCAGCTATGTACATACGGTCCGAATGCATGGCCAGCTATGTACATACGGTCCGAATGCATGACCAGCTATGTACATACGGTCCGAATGCATGGCCAGTTATGTACACACGGTCCGAATGCATGGCCAGCTATGTATATACGGTCCGAATGCATGGCCAGCTATGTACATACGGTCCGAATGCATGACCAGCTATGTACATACGGTCCGAATGCATGGCCAGCTA